CTCCTCCCCCCCCCCCTGCTTAGCAGGGTGGCTTTTTTATTTATTTATTTTTAGAAACCCGACATACGATAAACAGACGTTCCAGCCAATAATGCACGCTTGCCCTGATCTGTAATCTATAATACAGTATAATAGACATAAATTATATTTCCATGACTAAAGGAAAATGTGTATTTTCAAAGGGAATAGAACAGAGGGATATGTAGGACTACTGTCAAGCAGGAAAGTAAAAGGAAAATAGCTGTAGGCAGGAGATCTGCCTGTGTGGGCTTTGATCTGGGGGATGAATTAGTCTAATAGCCCTGTGTGTTGGCATCCAATACTGTAACAATTTAATAGTTTTTCAATGCTTTGGAGTGTTTTCCAACAAGTGATGTAAACCAAAGACATCACACAACGTTTCCGGGGAACTAAAAAGGTGTTTGCCACATGATAATTAAATTATTTGAAGACAGCTATTTCCTAGGAACTAGCCCCCAGAGGGAAGGGGCATTGGAAGAGAGAAAGAAAACTGGTGTGCAGAAAGTTACCTAGATGGAAATATAAAAGCAGCACCACCCCAGCAGCATTCTGGTTCTCCTGCCTTTTATACAAAATCCGTCCTCAAACTTTACTGAGTTAAAGATTATAGTTATGGGAAAATTCACTCAAGTGACAAGGAGCTATGTAAAGTGAGGTTTAGACTTTTGGCCAGTCTTGACAGAGGTGAAACTATAATCTTTGTCAATAATATAACAGTGCATCATAGCAGAGGGACAGGCAAAGTAAAGGTATGAGCAAAGTGGTGAGGGGAGGGAGGAAGGGGTAAAGAGAGAGATGTTTTCAGAGGAGATGTAAAAATAAGCTGGAGCAAGCAGCTATTTAGCATCAGAAATAGTCCCATCCCACAATACATGAGGTACCTATTCCAAAAAAGCCCTTACTATAAATGGCCACATGCTGTTCCTATAGGACTCAGTTGATCTTTCACTACTGAAGTCAAAGGGGAAGAAATTCAAAAAGTACAAAAGTATATGAGGCCTGATTTTCATGTGCACTCACTCATTGCCAAAACTGTTTAAGAAGGGCCTTAGTGTAAATAAGGATCAAGACTATTGGTTGCATTGGGTTTCCAAAGAAAAGTGGCCCAAAAAAAGGATTTGATCTCTGAGATGCAAGTAAAAACCCATTTCAACTTCTAATTGCAATTCTTCCCTTCTAAAGTGCCTTACCTCAGTGAAACTCCATTGACTTTGTGTTACTTCTAATTTATAACAATAAAAGAGTGCACAGAGCCAGGCCACCAAGTCCCATTTTTTTGTCTGATAGTAAGTATTAAAAAATTGAATTAAAATAGTATCAGTGAAAAACAATCTGAAACACAGGATATATTTTAATCAAAAAAGCTGGACATTCATACAGACCACGTCTACATGAGATGCTGACTATGCAGTTGCTACTGCGCAGTCATTTAGTACTTGCAGACACAAGTACTAAATGAGTGTGCAGTAACTGGTGTTACTGTGCAATAGCATCCCCGAACGGCTTTTTGGTGACACTGTCTGCTCAGCAGCTCATTACTACTGCACAGTAGCATTGCATCAAGCTTCATGCCATGTGATGGTACTGTGCAGTAGTAATGAGCTATTGCACAGTTAGCATCTTGTGTAGACGTGGCCACACTTACTTAATATCTAGTAAGTAAAATGTCCTAGGAGAAATTAGGGTAAACTAATAGTGTGTTTAGCTTAAAAACATTGGGAGTCTATTCTATTCATACAAGGAACTGCAGTTTACCACTGCCACAGTGGGTGAGTATCGCTCACAGGGTCTCTTTCTGTGGCAAGATACTTAAATAGATTTTACCCTACAGATGCTGCTCTTGACTAAGTTAGTCGTGGTTTAAATTTTAAGAAAAAGACGGATCATACATATATCTAATGACTGCTAATTAGGGGTGTGCAAAGTGGGCCCTAATTGATTTGGATTCGGATTCAGCCTGAATCGGGGACAGTGATTCAATTCGTTGATTTGGATCACTGTCCCCGATCCTATTCAGCTGAATCTGAATCTGAAGATTCGATGCCAATTTGGAGAATCAGTGATTCGGACATAGACACAGCTTTAAAAGCTTTTTCTACATATCTTGAGGTAGTAGGCATGGCTTATGATCGCTGCGATGCTGGGGTGCATGGAACATCCCACAGGAGTGTGGGGGGGAAGGGGCGGGACCTGCACATGCTTGCAGTGAACCCGGAAATGGATCGGAAGTACTTCCAGTCTGCTTCCGGGTCTGCTGGAGAGCAAGCTGGGGGCCCCCTGCACCTCCCCGGCTCGGCGATCGGCTGCAGGGGGACCCCGGGTGCCCCCCCCCCCAGACCTGGGAGGCACCAGTCACCAAGCCAGGGGAGAGGGGGGCTCCCTACTTCTGGTCCACTTCCAGGTCTGTTGCCAAGTGTACTGGAGAGTCCCCCTCATGCTTCTGTGGGACACCCCAGCATTGCAGCACTCGCAAGCCCCTGCTACCTAGAGGTATGTAGGAAAAACATTTGAAGCTGAGTCTATGTCCAAATCTTTCACAATTTCTCTGAGTCAATTCAGAGGGTTCTGATTCAGTTCGGACAGATTAAGGGTCCTCTGATTCGATTTGGATTTGGAGATTCAGCCACCGAACTGGGCTGGATCTCCGCCGAATCGAATCAGGGACCGAAGCTTGGCACAGCCCTACTGCTTATCAAGCATTTATTCTTCAAGTGAGAAAGAATCACCAGGCTGGATACATTCATGCAGAGATTGGTCCAAAATCCATGTTCAGGAGAGCCTTCCTATTGATTAAAATGGGATCCAGATCAGGCTCACTATGGCTTAAATACTTTTACTATTTTAGCTTAAAAATAAAGGCCAAGAGTGGTTTAATTGTGAGATGTGTTGAACACCCACAACTTTTACTGATTTTCATTAGAAATGTGGGTACCAGATATTTCTGAAAAGTAGATTCATTATTCTGGTGCTTAAACCCAAATTTTGGAGCCTAAATTCAGGAACCTGTTTTTGAAAGCATTGGTCAAGCAACCTAGGATAACAGATGGCTCCACCTATGTAAGTCAGTGGTGACTGAAGTTTACTGGTTGCTTGGTGATGATGACTTGATGGCTTCAATCCAGGTTGCAGTAGCTCATGACAACAACCAACACCTCAGCTGGCAGTTCTTGATGAGAGGCACAGCAATGAGCACAAAAAAAAGAAAGGACAAATGAATTCCCTTCTCACTCCTGGACATGGTCATAATTAGAGCATGCTAGAAGTTCCCAGTGTCACTGTTTGTTGGATGCTTTTCTGTGGATAAATATTTTTAATGATCATTTCCTGAGAACCAGCCACAAGCTGGTGAACTTCAGTCTCTGGAGGTTGTACATTCACTCATAATATAAGAACAAAACAACCCACATATTTTTTAATCCGGGAAGAGTGAAAAGCAGCATAAATTAAAACTGGGGAAGGTCCTTTTGAAATCCAAATATGTAAAAATAGCTGAATATGTTTTAAAAAGTTGGTTTAATGCCTGATATGCTAAATTTCATCCCTGAGTGATTATTATGGCTCACTTATAAATCCTTGAAAATAGTATTTACAAAAGAAGTGCTGACAAACCCTTAAATATGCCTTTACAGAGTTAGCAGGTGCCATGGTTATTGTGGCACAATATGTTGAACAATAGTTTTCTCTTAGCATCTGTACGGTCATTATAGTTTTACTAGAGTAACGATAACTCATCCAGGGTGTTATCATAAAAGCATAATTTTACTAGGCAATTTTTTTTCTGAGGTTGTATATCTCCAGAATACAAAGCTGTAAACCATTTGATTTGAGATAGTAAACAGGCAATAAAAGTGTCATGTAAGATTTTCCTTTTTTTTTCTTAAACCAACACTAAAAATTATTCGCAATTTTTTTTAATTATGACACAAATTAAGAAAATGATGCCTGAAATGGAGACCCTTCATAAATTCAAAGGAGGTATTTTTTGATGATTGCTGCAAAGCACCAGAATAATAACAGGTATCATAGTTCGAAGATTACACACTGAATCCCAGCCTGTTTGTTTGGCTGGATTGTGACTTCTGGCAGGAGGGAGATGTGTACATTCCTCCATCTCAGATTAGATCCACAGGTCATTGGGAATCAAACAACTGAGTCACAATTTCCTTCCTTGATCTTGGAGGTGGTATTGCTGGTAATTTAGAGCCTGATCCAAATCTGTTGAAGGCAATTGAAATACTTGCATTAACTTCATTGGGCTTTGAATCAGATCTGCCCTGATGGTCTATGCCAACAGCAAATTGCCACTCCCTCAGTGCTTCAGCAGACAAGTAGGAAAGGTGCAATCAAAGCTTCATGTGTACACTGCCCATTTGTTTTTAGAAGGGAATAAGTAGTTGTCAGAGTTAGCACCAATCCGTCAAGTCTATTGTAATCAAGTAACTCAAAGTTACTTTAAAGAGATCTTGGTAGCACAGAGGCTGTTGTAAACACCTCCTCTTTTAGATCCACATAGGGTTGCCTAGCATCTCTTTTTCTAATGTCTGTGACCAGATACATACGTGTGAATGAAGCAAAAACCAATGGAGCTGCACTGATGAGAATCTTCTAGCCCTAACATGCAGCTTTTTGGA